TAAAGGCATTCACGGCAACCCGTCAAAATAAAAGTTCAGTTTAACTTGAAGGCATTGGCAGAAATATATTACTATTGTTGAGTAGAATGTACATAACAGGCTGCTACTACTACTACTAAAATTATTAAATCCTTATTTTTTAGGAATAATCATTCAATATTTATTCAATGTTTTAATTGTAATATTAAATTACCTTTATTTTCCAAAAAATAAAATTTGTTTAATAGATAGATTAAATGAATATTTTATGCCTTAAAAATGTAAATACACAACACAGAATTTCTGAGCAAAAAATCATAAGGCTATTATAAGAATAGATTAAACTTGTTTTTATGCTTTCAAATAATTAGACATGCTAAATCAGAATGTGGTAACAATAAAACATAAGGTTGGAAAAAATAAAACATTTCATAGGGCCCTAAACATGTAATTTTTTTTAAGCTTTTAATAAGTTGATGTTAAATTGTTTAAGTTTCATGATTTTAATTAATTAGACATGATTTTTGATTAATACAATTTTATTTAACCATTAAAAAAGGAGTCCAGAAAAAAAAACAGATTTTAATTTCTCATTGAACCTCCAAATTAATGTAGAAACAACAAAGTTAAACTTGTTTTTATGCTTTCAAATAATTAGACATGCTAAATCAGAATGTGGTAACAATAAAACATAAGGTTGGAAAAAATAAAACATTTCATAGGGCCCTAAACATGTAATTTTTTAAAAACTTTTAATAAGTTGATGTTAAATTGTTTAAGTTTCATGATTTTAATTAATTAGACATGCTTTTTGATTAATACAATTTTATTTAACCATTAAAAAAGGAGTCCAGAAAAAAAAACAGATTTTAATTTCTCACTGAACCTCCAAATTAATGTAGAAACAACAAAGATACTATATTTTAAATACGTTTTTAATGACTTCTTTTTACTAAGTAGCCTATTATTAATGAAGTATTGATACCAATACTGCTACTGGTGTCTCTATTAAATGCATTTTCCCTAAATTTTCCCTATTAATTATAGCCATTCAACATTACAGTATAATTGAAAGCCATTATTTTTAACATTTAGTAGGCTCTGAAATATTAAGTGATTTTAAAACAATTTTCACATAGACTATAAATTGTATAAGCATAAACTAAACAGATTAATCTTTATTCAAGCTACAAAAGTTAATCAGCGACTAGAGTAGTCGAGTGATTTCTCTATTTCTTTTGTTCTTTGGTTTACATCAATCACAGACTTTAACAGGTTTTACTTTAAAAGCAGTGCTGTCTCTTTAAAACCTGTTGCACATGACGCGGATCTGACACATATCCTATGTGCCTGACCTGAAGCCCATATAGAATCTATGGGATATTTTCAAGAGAAAGATGAGAAACAGTGGATCCGAGCTGAAGGCTCAATAGTGCCTCAGCAGTGCCACAGGCTGCTCGCTTCATGCCACACTGCACTGATGCTGGAGTTTGTGCTAAAGAAGCCCCGACCAAGTATTGAGTGCAGAAATGAACATACTTTAAAGAACTTGAACGTTTCTGTTTTGCAAATCCTTTTTTTGATTGATCTTAGGAAATATTCTAATATTTTGAGATACTGGATTTTTGACTTTCATGAGCTGTAAGATCTAATCAAAATTAAAACAAAAGAACTTTTGAAATGTTTTACTAATTAAAAAAATATATTTTTAACGCTTTAAACTGAAAAAAATGTATCGCCTGCGTTAATGCGCAAATTTTGACAGCACTAATATACATCAAAATTAAAATCAATCATAATGTTCCTTCATTGTGATCATTAGGTCAAAAAAACTATTATCTTTAAACTATAATTTTACAGATTCAGTTCTTTTAATTAAATATTATGAATCTGTTTTGGCTTCTTTTAAGCCATTTTAGAGCAGAGGCATAAACATCAAGCTCTGTATCAAGTATCATAAAATGGCTGGAAATATAGAGCTGTAATGCCCTGCATACTGAATGAGAGGTACAGAACTTCAAACCCTAAAGTTTCCCAGCATCCATTTTTGATCCTACACTGATTGAATCCACACCCTGGGGTCTGCTTCACATTTCTATTTCTGTTTTATTTCATAGTGTTTTTTTTTTGGTGCATATCTAATAATAATAATATCCCAAGGTCCCTTCTGTGCTTGATGTCATTTCCTGACTTAAGATCTTGCCTTTGAAGGGCAGTGTGAGCGTTTCCCCCAGCTGTGAAGCCCTGATAGAGAAGCGAGGAGATTTGAGATGAGCATTTTCATTGGGATGTTAAATAAATCAAGATATTAATGCAGCAGGATGCAGTGATAACGTTGCAGTTATTTTTTGAAGTCCCATGATGCCATTGTTTTCATCGTCAGGGGTCATTCATGACGTTTTATTTTTACCCATCAGGTGTCTTATCTTAGGTGGGTGTTGTTTTTCTGTCTGTACTCATGCTGAGTCAGGATATGAGCGGGAAGCTCCGTTCGGTGTTTTAATATATTCTATTCTTTTCCGTTTTATATTATTCTATTCTATTCTGTTATAATCTTTTCCTTTCTATTATAATATATTCTTTTCTGTTTTATTCTGTTCTATTCTGTTCTATTATAACCTATTCTATTCATTTCTATTTTATTCTATTCTATTATAACCTATTCTAAACTGAATTTTACCGTACATTTCTGCCATATGTACATTATCTGACAGTTACTACTAAATATATTGTAGAAACTTAATTATCTGTAAAGTTGCTTTGCAACGATTTATATCGTGAAGAGCGCTATACAAATAAACTTGAATTGAATTGAATATTCTTGTTTTATTCTGTTCTGTTCTCTTCTATTCTGTATGAATCTATTTTAATCTATTCTTTAGTTTTATATATTCTTCTAACATATTCTATTCTTTTCTGTTTTACTCTATTCTGTTGTATTCTGTTCTTTTTTGTTTTTCTATTATAAGTTCTATTATATTATAACCTATTCTTTTCTGTTTTATTATATATATTTTTTTATTTTATTCTATTGTAACATTCTATTCTTTTCTGTTTTACTCTATTCTATTCTTGTCTATTCTATTCTAAGGTTTTGTTTCTTGAATGTTTCTCATTGGTTCACTGGGCTGGTTTGATCGTAAGATGATAACACTCCTATTCTATTCTGTTCTGTTTTATTTATTTATTTTTTTATTCTGTACTTTCCTGTTATAATCTGTTCTTTTCTATTGTAATCTTTTTTGTTTTTTCTATTTTATTCTATACTGTGCTTTTATGTTTTTCTATTCTATTCTTTTCTGTTTTATTCTATTCTTTCCTGTTATAATCTGTTCTTTTCTATTGTAATCTTTTTTTGTTTTTTCTATTCTAATCTATTCTATTATTTTCTGTTATAATCTAATCTATTATCTTTTGTTTTATTCTATTCTGTTATTCTATTAACTAAACCTGACTCTCCTTATGAAAATAGCCATAGAAGCTGAAATATCGTCAAAAAGAAGGAAAGAAAAAAAAGATTTTGTTCTATTCTATTCTTTTTTATCCTTTTCTATTCTGTTTTATTCTAAACTTGTTCCTTTCTGTTTTATTCCAATCAATTTAAGTATATTCTATTCTTTTCTGTTTTTTCTATTCTGTTCTTTGCGGTTTTATTCTATTCCGTTTTAATATATTCTATTCTTTTCCGTTTTATATTATTCTATTCTATTCTGTTATAATCTTTTCCTTTCTATTATAATATATTCTTTTCTGTTTTATTCTGTTCTATTCTGTTCTATTATAACCTATTCTATTCATTTCTATTTTATTCTATTCTATTATAACCTATTCTAAACTGAATTTTACCGTACATTTCTGCCATATGTACATTATCTGACAGTTACTACTAAATATATTGTAGAAACTTAATTATCTGTAAAGTTGCTTTGCAACGATTTATATCGTGAAGAGCGCTATACAAATAAACTTGAATTGAATTGAATATTCTTGTTTTATTCTGTTCTGTTCTCTTCTATTCTGTATGAATCTATTTTAATCTATTCTTTAGTTTTATATATTCTTCTAACATATTCTATTCTTTTCTGTTTTACTCTATTCTGTTGTATTCTGTTCTTTTTTGTTTTTATATTATAAGTTCTATTATATTATAACCTATTCTTTTCTGTTTTATTATATATTTTTTTTATTTTATTCTATTGTAACATTCTATTCTTTTCTGTTTTACTCTATTCTATTCTTGTCTATTCTATTCTAAGGTTTTGTTTCTTGAATGTTTCTCATTGGTTCGCTGGGCTGGTTTGATCGTAAGATGATGCATCTTTTGCAGACGAGTACAGCGAATAGCCGCTTCTCATCAGTTTTACGGGAATCGTTCTCCATTCAGCAGTTCTTCCTGGAGCTGATTGGCTAATCACACAGGATTCTGAGTGTTACATGTGAATTTGTGTTGTTTGTAGATGTTGAGCAACACTTGTATTGTTGACCTTGAAGCAAGACTCATCCCCAGAAATGACACATAGAAACAAACGCATTTATAGTATGGCGATGTTTTTTCTTTTAGTCTTTTGCAGTAAATAAACCCTGAACATCACCACCGGTTTCCTCTAATTTGCATCTACGACACATTTCATAGAACGTGCTATTTTTAACTACTTCAGATGAAGTCATCAGTGTGTTTTAATTGCAGGGACAGATGTGAAACTGTAATTAACATTGTGCTTACTGATATGAATGTTAATGATATGCTTCCCCTCAGTGTTCGTAACATGTCGTGGCTGCATGTTTAGCCTGGTGTTGAGCCTCCATCTCCTGCTCTGTCTCATAGTAAATTTGCTGTTTCGTTTTGATGTCATTGTGGTTGTCTTTTCATTTACGTCAATTATTTTATGTTCTTTTCTTTTTCTTTTTCTTCTTTTTTCTCGCCCTCCCTCTCCTCCCTGAACTTTGTATCTATAATTTACCCCCCTTGTTACCCCCTGGTTTTGCCCCTCCCGTCACAATCACCCTCCAACGTACTCAAGACGTTGCCCTTCCTTCTGCTGTCCCTTCACTGACCGATGCCACTACTGACCATGTAGCGTCCAGCCCGGCCGAGCGCAGCGGCCCGACGCCCTCCGCCCCGCGTGATGTCGTGGCATCTCTGGTGTCCACCCGATTCATCAAGCTGACGTGGCGACTTCCTGCCGAGCCGCACGGGGAGAACATCACCTACTCTGTGTTCTACAGTCTGGAAGGCACTAACAGGTTAAAGATTCTCAAAGATGTCAATGTGTGTTTGCTGTTTAACGTGGTCCTACATAGTTTTAAAGAGCAGCTTACGCTGCCTCTGCAGGTTGTTAAAGGAACAGCAACAGGAAATGCAAACTGTAACACTGTGCTAATGTTTAGAATAGTTTACCACACGTACTAATTGTGCATCAAACATTTAGGATTTGGGGGGGTGGTATCTAAGGTAAGGTTTTAAGAATTGGTCATTGAAGAATACATTGATCGACCACTAATCTGAATATTTGGTCAAATGCATCATCATCAGTGTTTATGGTCAGTGTCAGTATATTCTGTGCACACAATGTGGATTTTCTGTATAAAAAACTTAAAATGCACAGTTAAACTACTAGATTTAACAATATAAGCAGTAAACAACTAAATCATAGTGTGAAGGTCACTTCATCCCGTAATGTAATGTGTCTACCTACCATTTCCCATGTGATGTCCAGGGTTGTTATTGTTGACTAAAATTATTAAAAACATTTTTGTTAATTGAATTAAAGTTTAATTAATGTATGAATATTAGATTTAAAAATGTGAAACTAAATGAAAATTACTAACTGAAATAACTAACTGAAATAAGTTTAAAGCACTAAAATTAAATAAACTGAAACAAATAAACGCATAAACTGAAATTAAATGTAAATAGTAATATTTAAAAATTAATAAATTATAAATGTTGCCTTGGCAAAATTTCTGAAATAATTTTAAGTTAAAGCACTAAAATTACTTACTGGAAATAAATATAAATTAAAACGTAAATAAAAATAAACCTAAAGAGTAAAATTTTTTTAAAATTACAACTTATTTAGTAATATATTATATTTAATTAATATTGAATTAAATTATTAATCAAAATGACAAAAGCATGTAAAATCTTTCAAAATCAAACAAAAATTCTAAAAAAAAAAAGCTAATTCAAAATATTGATTACAATCTGTTCAAACTAAAAAAATTAACACTGGTGACAAACAGTTTTTTTAACATCTTTTTTGTTTATTTTTAGACAGATTTGATCAAATTTAATTAGCTAGCTATGAACATATATACTATAAACAGCTAGCTATAAATGTATCAACTTGCTTAATAAGATTGTCTTCAGAATATTTCTGTAGAAGGCACTTTATGCTGATACCCGCTATAGCCTCCCTGTGGCAGCACTTGTGTTATGTTATTAATTATGTTCTGATGCATTCTGGGGCACAAATTTGAGCTAGGAACATCTGCGTTCACGTGCCTGACTAGCATGTGAGCTTAATGTTAGGCCTAAAATCACACATTAGACACGTTTGCGCTATTATGGTTTCATATTGCTGTTGTTTTGCTCGCAGGGAGCGTGTGGAGAACACCAGCGGACCGGGAGAGATGCAGGTCACCATCCAGAACCTCGTCCCCGACACCAAGTACACCTTTCGGGTGGTCGCGTCCAACGCTAACGGCCCGGGCGAGAGTTCCACCCCACTTACAGTGGCCACCCAGCTGGAGGGTAAAACACTAACACACACGTACACACACTTCAAGCACGCGTTTGCCCAGCTAGTGTTGAATACTGGGCCAGGTCTGAGGTTTCTCTCTCTACACCTCTCTCTTGTGACCACACTGGTCCTGTTTGTGCGCGTCCAAACCTACCGGTCGCTTGTTTACCAGCCGCTGTTGAGCTGGGGACGCTGTGGTTTCTTCACAGACAGCCTCTTTCTGTCCGAGCTGTATGAGTGTGGAATTGTAAACATCTGGGTCGGGAAATGTCTGGAAGCATGTGTCAGGATGATTTTCATGGATACAGGCGACTAGTATTAATGAGACGAGAGCTCAGGGATGCAGGTATGTTCGGAGCTGTCAGGAAAAATGCAGCCAATGCTTCTGCGAGCCGATCTCATGGGACCAAAGGAGACTCGTGCTGCTGGTGTGTGGCCACGGTCGGGTGAAAACGCCAACTGGCTTGTGCATAGGGCAGATGCAGACTGAAGGAGAAGGAAACTGCATCCCGGTTTGTATGATATCTGTCATATAGGCAGATCAGGATTGTGCATCTTGCATCCAACAGGCCTGCATGAATGTCCATGCATGCTAATATTGCCTTTGCAACGTTGATGAGGAGGAGTGTGTGTGTGATGATTCACTAACAACCAGTCAGTTTACATTTTTCAAAAGAAAAACAAAAAACAAATATATATATGTATATATATATATATATATATATATTTTTTTATCATCGAAATTGAACATAACTTTTTAGCTTTTCTATTGAAATCACCTTTCAAATAAAATGGAATGATATAATCCGTTTCCAAAGTATTAAATCCATATAAATCACTATGAAATATCCTGTTTAACTCAAAAAAAAAAAAATAAACATTCAGAAGTTTGGTTAAGTATTTTATTTTTTAAAGAAATTATTTGCATTAAATAGATCAAAAGTGACAGTAAAGGCATTTACTGTGTTATAATGTAAAAAATATATTTTTTATTTAAAATAAATGCTGTTCTTTTAAACTCTATATTCATCAAAGAATCCTGAAAAATAAAATGTCACAGTTTCCACAAAAAATATCAATGATATTAGAATGATTTCTTAAGGATCATGTTACACTTAAGACTGGAGTAATGATGCTGAAAATGTAGCTTTGCATCACATTACATTTTAACATATATTGCAAGAGAAAGCAGTTATTTCGAATGGTAATAATATTTCACAATTTCACTGTTTTTACTGTATTTTTGATTAAATAATTGCAGCCTTGGTGAAGAGAAGAGCCTTAAAAACTCTCACCCTGAAGTGGCTTATTGTTTTAATAAAACAGCAACTTTAATACAAGCCACTAATATTAAATTAAGTCAAATGTATTCATATTAATAATAATTAGAATTAAAAAAAAATTGTAGTAATATTTATAATTATTTCATTAGTTTTGTAAAGCATCTTTGAGTACCTTGAAATGCGCTCTACGAATAAAGTTTTATTATTTTTGTCAATAGTCGTATTATTAATATGGTTTATTAGTGTAGGATATTTGTAGTTGCCATGCAGTGTAGCAACTTAATAAAAAATATTAAATGCATTACTTTTTAATAATATTCTTTATTAAGTCATTTCTTTTTAAAATTAACTTTCCGTCATACAGTAGGTGTTTATCAGCTTTCTAACAGCTTTTAGTCAGAACTATTTTGTGTTTTTTTATACGGTATGATAAAGTGTGACAGGGGTTTTTGTTATCAAGACAATTTTATAATTAGTTTCCTTGCAACATTCTCAACCTGTCGAAAATAATGTACTTTTGAAGTTTGTGAACTGGGATTCATCCTAGTAGCTGTTTTGTATTCTGCACTTGCCGTTTGACTTATATGGACAAAACGAATTAAAGCAACACAAATGTCTCTTTTTAGGTCTTTCTAGGTCAAAACTCCTCCGTTTCCTTTGCATCCCACACGTGGAGCACAATGCATTTCGCTCGTTTGAAGTGTCGGAATATCCTCAGCGGGATTCAGATGCTGCTTTCTCGCCAGCATAGTCTTCTTTTACCATGTGATATTGTCATTATTTAAAGTATCCAGCTGCGGTGGGTTGAAACGTGTCGTCTTTTGTCACTACGCACTGTTGAAGTTTGCAAAAGCGAAAAAAATAAGTGTCAAACAAAAGAAAAAAGACGCTTCAAGTAGAACTGTAAGCAGTGGAAGACACTGTGAAGAAATTACTTCAGTGGCCCTTTGTTTTCAAACACATACTTAAAGCTGAAGCACAGACAAATGCGCCTTCGTTTCTTCTGCTTTACTTTCACGTCTTGTTCCTAAAACTTTATAAAAAAAGCGAAATATTAACTTTAGGGTTTTTGTATCCATGCAGGAGTCGTGCGGATCTGTATCTGTTTTTTTTGAGATGTAGCTCTGAAGTTGTTCCGTCCCCTGCGTGTCTCAGTTCAGGTCCCGGGTCCGGCTCCGAATCTGCAGGTGGTCTCTGTCGGCACTGCCTCAGCCACGCTGAGCTGGGAGAGACCCAGCACTGGAAACGGCGAGATCCAGACCTACAAACTCTTCTACAGCGAGAAGGGACAAGACTCGGAGCAGGTGAGGACGCATGAAAGCTAGAAATCAAGCTGTAGTTTAGAAACATTTAGAAAGCTCGATTATTATATCACAGCCAGAAGCTCCTTAACATATGATCACCCGGGTTTACAGCGACTTGGCCTAACCTGATGAATGGCAGACTAACACAGAAGTACCATGATGCTATCATAGTTTATGCATTATTTCATTTTGTTTTGTACCATAGTAATACCATGAAATTATTCAGACAGATATGATATGTTTCTAATACATTTTATACAAATATGTAATTTTATATATTATTTTTTGGACACTTACTATTATAATGACATTTACAAATGTTTTTACACATTTACTGTGGTAATACTCTGTTTTTTGATAGTAGTTTTTTATATGTTTACTATTATAATACTGTGTTTTTCCATATATTTTTACACACTGTGGTACCACCATGTTTTTGGACATCTGTTTCATGCACATTTACTGTGATCATGCGTGTAATACAATGTTTTTATACATAATTAAAACATGGTATTAAATTAGTTTTTGGGAGATTTTCTTTTATAATATACCTTTTTACATATATTTTTGTACATTTACAATGGCAATATTTTGGCAATATATATATTTTTTAATTGCTATTATACCTTTTTTTTTTTTTTTTTTTTTTTTACATATTTACATATATATTTTTGTAGATATACATCTTTTTTGACACTTTTTTTTTTTTACTATGGTAAAACAATTTTTTACATGGATTTTGTGCCTGTTTTGGGCATCAGTTTTTTGCACATTTACTGTTGTAATACCATGTTTTAGTTTTTTTCTCAATATAGCTTTACATATTTACTTTTGTAATACCATGGGTTTTTTAACATATTTGTTTGCCATTTACTACGGTAAAACTTTTTTTTTTTTTACAAATATTTTGTGCCCATTTACTATGATTTTATCCTGTTTTTTATGTTGTTTCACTATTATAATGCCATGTTTTATATATTTTCAGTGTGCATTTACTATGATATTACCCTGTAATACTATGTTTTTGGCACACTTGTTGGACATGTATGTTTGTTGTTTGTTTTTGTGCATCATATTATAATAATACCGCACTAGATTACCATAAATATGCTATGATATATGAATATGGTATTCATTCAGTAGCATAGTTACTTATCATGATAGCACCACAGCATTTTTATGTAAAGATGTTAGACAACCATATCAGGGGTCAGTTACAAAGAAGTCTTAAAGAGACAGTAGCAGAAACAAGAGAGAGGGTGGAAATAGTCGTAAAAATGGTGCTTGTTTTTATGTTGACTATAAATGCTACAGTAAAAGCAGTGCAGGTAACTGATGTTGGTGTTTTTTCTGCAGGACATGGACGTCACGGGTCTGGCCTACACTGTGACGGGCCTCAAGAAGTTTACAGAGTACAGTTTCAGGGTTGTGGCGTACAACAAACACGGCCCCGGCGTCTCCACTGAGGATGTTGTGGTCCGAACGCTGTCTGACGGTGAGCCTTCATGAAGTCTGACGCTTAGACGTGTTACTTTGAACCTCCTGACTTAATTTTCCTTCGCTGCCGGTTTGATTTTCTGTCTCTGTCTTGACTTGGAATTCAAATAGCACTTAAAAGTGCCTCCGTTTAGATGAAGATTTGGCATTCACACAGATTTGTCAGTGATTTGATCTTAGTATGCATGAGCATGTTTTTGAGTCAGTGTTGTCACAAGACTCGTGTAAGTGACATGCTAACATGTTCGCTTTAGTTCAGTCTTAAAGCAAAATAATTAGCATACAGGAAGGCAGATGTCTTTCATTGGTTCAGTATAGCGGTTGGGTTTTGTGGCTTTCTTGACTATGAAACGACACAGAAAACAAGTGCATCTGTTTTCTCAGCTATGTGAAGCCGGATATAGACAAAATATCAACTTTTCGGTTAATCTGATTCAGATTTATTTGATTCATTCACCTCTACACTAGTCCTCAGACCACTCATAGAAAAAAATTGTTAGAAATTACAATGCTCAAAGTGGTGGCTGAATATAGTTGATTCAAGACTTGAAAAGATCTTGAAATGTGTTTATTTTTATTATTTATTTATGCTTTTAATTATTTATTTAACTAATATTTATGTATTTATTATTTTATTGATAAATGTATCTAATAATTATTATATTATAAATAATAATTATTATTATTGTTTCATTAGTATTTTCATATGATTAAGATTTGATTAATTATCTGAATGCAGCTCCTCTCTGCAGACCATTTCTACAGAAGTGAGAATAAAATTGATCTAAAAAATGTATTTATTAAATTCATTTTAAATTAAATAAATTAACTAAAATGTAATTTATTATACATTAAAGTAAATCTGTGTTTTATATAAATAAAAATATTTATTTATAGTATTTTATTTATTCAAATAATTGTATTTAGCTATGTTATACTTTGATATGTAAACCAAAGAAAATATATCTTTTTTAGTGTTTTGAAATGGTATTTTTTAGAGACTTTTCAGCATTGGATTAATTATAAATATATGAACATGTTGATATATTCTCTCACCATTTTCTTTACAATTAATCGCTGTGTCAAAATAATATTTATTTATTTATGTGATTCTCTAATATGCATAATAATTAAAATGGGCAGTTTTTTTAGTAAAATTTTTTATTTTTTTTAATAGAGATTTTCGCAATTGGATGAATCATACTTATAATTCAAAATAATGTTTGCGCGCCATTATTTTTATTTTTTTTCCAATTTATCGCTGCGTTCAAAGTCACATGTGAAATCAATTTGGTGAAGAACTAACTTCATGCTTCAGTAAGAAGCAATAAAGTTCATTTTAATGCAAAATGAGGGCAACATAATTACTCTTCCAGACTTTTGTGAAAGTGAGACTTTGATGCCTTAAAATGTTGTCTATGTAAGGAGCTGGCCATATTTTGACTCTCTCATGCTCTGGTCTCTGTGGGACGTGAGCGAGACGTCCTGTCATAGAAAGACCTCCGGGAAGACGGCGAGCTTGTGACAGGTAGTGTTGTAATCATACACGCTCACTCTGCGGCGGAAAGCACACAAGTGTAAATAATATAATGAAGTGTTTTATTAAAGCGAGCTGTTGACGCTGGCATGTGCACAAACACACATAAACAACGGCTGTTACTGTCTCCGCCGCGAGCGTAATCCTCCAGCGCTCATTTAAAGGACAAGAGACAGAACAAAAAGCAGAATGAAGGTGTAAAAAACGACAGCCGCATCCAAAAATAAACATCCGTCACGAGTCTTTGAATGTGGGTCTCGGTGGATAAAGCAATTATTTGAGTGGAGTTCTCAATAATAAATCTGTTGTGTGTTTCAGTGCCGAGCGCCCCGCCGCAGAACCTCACTCTGGAGGTCCTGAACTCAACGGTAAGATCCTCTTTTATTAGTCGAGTGCTCTGCTGATGAACGTTTTAGTGTTGTAGTGATTAAAGATCTGGGTACATCAGCCACTGTGGGCTTTGAACCTTCATCACCATCAACCTAACACCAGTTTGCCCTTGATGAAGACACCTCAGGCCAGGAAAATAAGCCCAACAGTAGCTTAAATGCTACAATTACTAAACTCATTGATGTTACTGGAAAACCATAGGGGAAAAATATGGAAACCGTATTGGAAGCATTCAGAATTTTTCTGTCATTTCTGACTAACTGTATGTGAAACAATCTCGTGGAGAAATCAACTGATGTAACTAATAAACAAATGTAGCTTAGTTTTTATATTTATAAGATATAGCCTAGTTAAGCAACATGACTGAGAGTGAAGTTTTCCCTGAAACCACAATAGCAGATTTGACATTGATTTTATACAAGAGTTCAAATGAGTAGTCAAGTCACCTTTATTTATATAGCGCTTTTAACGATACAGATTGTCAAGGTTGGCTTTACAGTATTAAATAGGAAAATAGTGTGTCAATAATGCAAAAGGACAATAGTAAACACTCATTTTTCAGTTAAAGGCAGTTCATTCAGTGATCATCATCCAGCTCACTTCAGTTCAAAAGTAGTTAATATTGGCTACGTTACAAAATTGTCAATGTTGACTCTTCTTGCTCGATTTGGTTAACGAAAATAGTTCCAAACAAGGAACTATTAGAATATGGAATATGGAGTAATTAGAATACGGGAGAAATTGTGCTTCATTGCTTCATAAAAAATGACAACACACTGCAAACCCTTTATCTTATAGGGTTCCTAATGGTCCCAAAAGTAGCTAGAAGACCAATTTTTCCTTATGCAAAATTTAATATCTTAATTCTTCTAATTTTGGGGTGAAATATGACTCGGATATGTTCTTGACAGTTCTTGCGAGGTTCGTCCAATCATTGACAGTTTGGCCACGATACGTTTCTGTAAGAGCCTGTAATAAGTTACTTTAAGTCTGTTCAAATGACTAATTACTCATTAGTCACTTCCCGAAACAGAAGTCAAAGATTAATTATCAGAACCGGCCAAATGCAGAGAGTTTGTATGCTTTCATGTGCATGCTTTCCACCGTCAGGACTGTAATTTAGATGAGGCATCTGGCAGTCAGAGCTGATCCTGGATCATCTCCTGTTTCATGAAGCATACTTGGGTTTTTTCTTCATTCATTATTGCGTAGCCTGAAGGCTTTGCTCCTCTCAGCTGTCTTTCTGAAATGAACTCATGACGCATGACAGCATTGGCTGTGACAGCTCTCTGGCTGACACGCACCTGAAGAACTGCAGACCTCTAGACGTTTATAGAATGCGCTCCGCTGCTTAATTAAAATCCACTAACTTTTGAGACTCGACTCTCGCTGAGATGGCTTTGCTCTGGTTCTAAGCTCAGCGTGTGTCCTGTTTTACGCCCTAGAGCATCATGGTCCGATGGCAGCCGCCTCCCCCTGGTACCCTGAACGGAGAGCTGACGGGGTATAAATTACGCTACCGGAAAGGCCTCAGGAGAGCAGACACAATAGAGATCTCAACCACACAGCTCTTTCAGCTCATTGACGGTACGACAAACCCCCATCCCTACAGAACACGCTTTTAGTTTCATTTTTGTACTAGTGTAGTTTTTATCCATAGTTGAATTAGTTCATTTTCGTTATTTTAATTTGAGTAATTTTATGTGCTTTTGCATTTTTTATTTTTTGTTTAAAAATATTTCTATATGGCTTTAATTTCTTATTTATTTAGTTTTAGTTTTAGCAGTACTTCGACTTATTTTCCGTTATTTGCCAGTGCAACATTTCTAATTTTCGTTTAAGTTGTTTACATTTAGATATTTATATTTTATTTCAGCTTTTAGTATTTTTATGTGCTTTTGTCATTTTTATTAGTTGTTTTTTTTATGTTAGAACTGCAGCTTATTTTTATTTCTGTTAACATTTCTAATTGTAATTTTATAACATTTCAGAATTTAGATTTTTCATCTGATATTCATATTTTATTTCATTTCAGCGTTTAGTTTTTGTTTTTATACATTATTATTTTTTATTATTTTTATGTTATTATTTTATTATTTCTAAATCGCTTTTTTTAATTTGTAGCTTTCAGTTTAAAAAACTTTGAACTGCAACTTAAACTTGTTTTTATTTCAGTTAGTTGCCAAGACACCATTTCTTATTTTCGTTTAAGTTTTTAAACTTAGATTTTCATCTAATATTTATATTTTATTTCAGCTTTATTTAGTGATTTGTATTTGCTTTTGTCATTTTTATTCTTTTTTATATATTTCTATATAGCTTCAGTACATTTACTTCCCAGTTCAAGTAATCTTAGAACTGCAACTTAAACTGCAAAATTTCATTTCTTTTTAAAACATTTATTTTTCCCATGTAATATTTATATTTTATTTAATCTCAGATTTATTTAATCATTTGTATGTGCTTTTGTAATTGTTATAATTTTATTATATTTCTATGTATATTTTAATGACGATTTTGGCTTTAAAAACATTTTTGTTTAATTATTTAACTTATTTAAAAAATATTTTTCATCTATTATTTGTTTTTTATTTCAATAACAAAAAAAACACTATTTTCAATTGTTTTAGTTAATGATAACAACATTTCTACCAAATAAAATAATGAATTAATGGTGACAAAAATCTTACTGGATTTACCGGAAGGGACTCAAGTCAAATCTAGCATATCTTTTGACTTGAATCAGTGAGAAACCACTTAGAAATGGGCAAAAAAACAATTTTACTCAGGAAATGTAAAAAAAAAAAAAAAAAAGCATCATAAATCTTAAGATTAGTGTTTAGGTTGCTGAGTCTAGAGAACTGCCACTTATGTAACGCATAGTTTGTGTATTTAATTCAGCGCCTCGTGACATGGATGCTGGTTTTGTTGTCTTTAAGGTCTGGAGAAGGGAAAGGTTTACACCGTGAGAGTGTCGGCCTCCACCGTGAACGGAACCGGCCCGACAACCGAGTGGATCGCAGCCGAAACCTTCGAGAACGACCTGGACGGTAAACAAACACGCCGCTTTTCCTCCTTCACTTTGACTTTCTTCCCTGGAGCTTGCTGCTGCTGTAATTCTCTGTGTGTGTCAGGTGTGTTTGTTCGGGATGTGAAGAACTTTATTTCTCACGGATCAAACGGCAGACTTCATCAATACTGAACGAGCTGCTGCATAATTCACTCGTCCTTCCACTGGAGGAGTCTGTTAAACGCTCTTCTGGTGTGAGACGGAGAGGGGAATCCTGGGAAAATGGCATTTGTTTAATGCACTTCTATTGTTAAATGAAAAGCCTTTGAATGATTTGGATTAATGTGTCCGTTTAAAGACTTCGAATGCCATAAGAAGAAAACTGGCGCATGGCTGCTGAGTCGGTTACAGTAAATTCAATTGATTTCAGGCTTGAGAAAGCGCTGATGTGATTACTCGTGACATCGGGCTCAGATAATCGTGTCTGAGCTGTTAGGTTACTGCCACAGCTGTTGTGTTAGATCTGTGTGGAAGAAGTGAAAAGATCCACCACTTTCATGTTCTGCCCGTTTCCACTGTTAGCGGAAAAGAATGGATATAAGGAACATTTTGGGTCATTCACTTAAGCCCAAAATCAAAGATTTATTAAATAAATATATTAAATAGTTTTAAAATATGTTGCAGAGTAAAATATTATGTATATTAGCTAAATAAAAATTTTCAGGCAGTTATGTACATTTTTTGGGCCATTCATTTATTTATTTATTTATTTAGTCAAGAACATTCTGAGAACGTTAATTTCACCACAAAATAAAGAGAAAAATTATAGTAAATTATAATTTGTATGAAAATATTAAGTCCATCTTGAGGACCGTTACAGCCTTTTCTGGGCCATTATTTTTACGAGCATTTTTTGCTTTTTGTCAAGAACATTCTGGGTCATTAATTTCAACCCAAAATGAAGAAGAAAATAATAATAAATTATATTTTGCATTAAAAAATGTCTATTTTAGGGCAGTTTTTTTTGTATTTTGTCAAGAACATTCTGGGTCATTCATTTCAACCCAAAATTATGAAGAAAATAATAATATATATATATATATATGGCCATCTTTAGGGCCATTTTAACAGTTAAGCACAAATAAATACAATTAAGCACATACTGCCCATAATTTTGTTACTGTAATAGGAACAAATTTTGATTCATCATTTAAGTGCAGTTGTTTTTATTATACGTCATGGTATTATTTATTGCATTCATTATATTTATTGATTATTTAAATAAATAGTGTGAGTTGCATGTGATCATCAGAATTTAAGGGGGATTTAGTTTAATCTAGAATTGAATGTGTTCAGTTATCATTAAGATACTATCACAATGAAAATAAGCATTATGGTCAAAAATCGATTTTGTTTTTGTTATATAAATTATAATTTATTATTACTATTATGAGGACCCAGACATTTCCTTTTGAGATTCAGCCAGTAATTGAAAGTCATATTTCTGTGTTGAAGGAAGCTGCTGGTTTGTTGCGAGAGGAACATTTCAGCAGCAGGAACTCTGAAATTAAGGGAACAAACAGACACGGAGGCATTTCGGCTGATTTAGACGGCTGAGTTGGATTAATAGCTTGTATTTTCAGTGACAATTGGACCCCGGCACTGTGTGTGTGTGTGTGTGTGTGGTGTGTGTGTGTGTGTGTGTTTGTGTGTTTGTGTGTTTGTGTGCGTGTGTGTGTGTGTGTGTGTGTGTGTGTGTGTGCGTGCATTCAAACCCTCTTTGGGCTCATTTCCATCTGCTAAAATGGGAAAAGCTCTGTGACAGCCAGACCAAAGCATCTCTCTCAAGCACTAATGCCGCCGCTTCATCCGCTCCTACTTGAATTAGCCCCACAAATAGGCCAGTGTTTGAAATAATGAGTCAATTTAATGACTCTAAATCCAAAAGGTTTTGTCGGAAATTAGCAGCGTTGCCTTATAAATCAGAGCAGACATTAGAACCGGCCGCTAAGATAAATTCAAATTGCGTTTCACTAATAAAACGAAGCTGTCTGTGGATCCGTTTACACAAGTTTTGCTTTTAAGCTTGGCCGAAACAAATACGAATGGATTTCTCTGCTCTTACAGCAGTCAGCTCAATATGCGCTAATGAATTTGTGCTTAACAGCTGCTGTTTAGCTCAGCGCTACACCCGACCTGAGCTCCAATGCTGTAAACGTTCATTTCATGCTTGATTGTGAAATAGTTTTCTGACAGTCCTCTCAGACAACATTGATTGATGTCATTTCAGCAGTAATAGTCTCTGTTGGAGGTTTGTCTGCTACACTATCAATTTTGGTTGCATACTTTCAATTTCATTCTTAAGTGTTATTTGTGGTTTTAAATATATTAAAATAAAAATATCTGAATACATATGAATGAATAAATGAATGAATGATGCATTTACATAGCACTTTATTGTGTATTGTTGTACACCAATGCGCTTAACAATCATATGAAAGTTGAATAATATTTCGAAAAAAATATATATAAATATATTTGTTCATTTTAATAAAATATTGAACTTGTTTTTTTTATTATTATATATATATATATTCATTCATTCATTATTATCATAGGTATGTATTTATATGTGTGTGTGTGTATATATATATATGGATAAGAATAAGGTTAATAAGTTAAAATCAAAATAAAATAATAAAAATTGGTTTATATGCTCACATTCCCAGTTTTTTGAGGTTTAAATTAAATAAAAATGATGGATGGATGGATGGATAGATAGATAGAATTTTAAAAAACAAATTCTGTTTCAATTACATTTTTTTCCTTTAATTTATTTTTTAATTATTGTTTATTGAACTTCATTTTTAAAAATTAAAAGGGTTAAAAAAAAAAAAAAAAAAATTTTTTTAAAAAAAAAAAAAATATATATATATATATATATATATATATATATATAATAATTTTTAAATAAGAATTTTTTTTAATTATTTGTTTAACTTTTTTAATTTAAAATATCAAATCATATAAAATGTGAAAATTGTCAAAGATGAGCATGTTCTGGCTTGTGTGTGTTACAGAGTCTCAGGTTCCAGGAGTGCCGAGTTCTCTTCATGTTCGTCCGCTGGTGAACCGAATCGTGGTGAGCTGGACTCCTCCAGAAAACCAGGACATTTTAGTGCGAGGTTATAAAATCGGATACGGAATCGGCAGCCCTCACGCCCACACAGTCACTCTGGATTACAAGCAGCGTTTCTACAGCATCGATAACCTCGGTGGGTGTAACGCCACAAACAGTCAGTCTGATGCTGACATTAGGTGTGTTAACAGACGCTTTTAGACTGTTTATCATGTTTTCCACTCCAGATCCCAGTTCCCATTACGTCATCACCCTCAAGGCGTTCAACAACATGGGCGAAGGCATTCCCATCTACAACAGCGCCACCACGAGACCTCAATCCGGTGAGACTCTCAAACACACTGACGGTACCATAGTTTGAGATTTTTATTGTGCCAGCTTTCGCATGTCCATTCAGACAGGATCAGAAGACAAAAATACACACTTCATGCTATTTTGAAGCATATTTGTGACCCTGGAGTCTTAAGTAGCACGAGTATATTTGTAGCAATAGCCAACAATACATTGTATGGGTCAAAATGATACATTTTTCTTTTATGCCAAAAATCATTAGGATATTAAGTAAAGATCATGTTCCATGAAGATATTTTGTACATTTCCTACCGCAAATATACCAAAACTTAATTTTTGATTAGTAATAAGCATTGCTAAGAACTTCATTTAGACAACTTTAAATGTGATTTTCTCAATATTTAGTTTATTTTGCACCCTCAGATTCCAGATTTTCTAATAGTTGTATCTCGGCTCAAAAAATCGACCCTTATGGCTGGTTTTGTGGTCCAGGGTCACATATAACATGCTTAACTGTCTCTCTTATGTCTAGCATCAGACATGTTTGCGTTTTTGCACCAGAAACAAAGCGTGGTGTAAATCTGTAACGCTTCAGGCTCTAGAAGTCAGACGTTGTTTTGTAGTGAAGAGAAACTACAATCTCTTCCTCGCTCGTGTGTGTGTGTGTGTGTTAAATGTGAGGTGACAGATACCGCGCATCCGTCTGCCCCCCTCAGTTCTGGGACACACATCCAAACCTACAGGTGTGATGTGCGCTCACGTCTCTCCTTCAATGGCTTTACGTCAGATGTCTCAGACAGCCGCACGCCGCTGTTAGAGGTTTCCAGACCCCCTGCCGTCCTGTCAGGTCGACATTCACATCAGATCCCACTCTGTTAGGCTTCACATAACTTTTCTCGAGTTTCCTAAGCTAGAGCACAAAATGACCCAGAAATGAGTTGAGGATGAACGTTAGCTTGTTTGCTACAATCATTTATAGCTGTTTTCTGCCGAGCCTGCGTTTTCTGTTGTTGCTGTTGACGACATCAAAATCAGAGGATATTTTCACAGAAAAATCAATAGCAATTCCAGGTGTATCTTAATTAAATGTTCAGAGCTCTATTGATCAGCAACGTGCTGTTAATTACAGGATCGTTTGGATTTGCCCCTCTTAAATGAGCAAAAAAAACACTGGAATAGGACGGATAATTATTATTATAGTTTTAAAATTTGTATTATTATCATTAAATACTATTATAAAACGTACTATTATTATTTTTATATATATAACAGTAGAATAGTATTATTGCAATAATAATATATTTTTATATTTGATCTTTTTTATATTTATATAAATCAAATAACGTAAAAATACTTTGAATAATAATGATTATTATTATTAAATATTGATATAATAATTATTTTTAAATTCTAAGTATGTTTATTTAAATTATTATTAAGATCATTACTTTTATAAATACTACTATTATTCATTTTTTTCTTTTACAGTAAAATAATATTATTGCAATAGTAATATATTTTTATATTTGATCTTTTTTTGTATTTTTATAAATCAAAAAAAGGAAAAAATATTTTTGAATAATTATTATTATTGAACACTGTTATCATATTTATTTTTAAATACTATTATAAATATTATTTTTATTATTTTACAGTATAGTAGTATTATTGTGATAGTATCTTTTGTCTTTTAATATTGTTATATTTTGAATAATAATAATAGTTATTATTATTATTATTATTATTATTACTGCTCAACACGCTTAAAAGGATGATTTAGCCAACATGTACCACACATCACTGTGTGTACTTGATTTTTGTCTTTTTAAATTCTGAGAATTGAGTTGAAATTATTTTCTGTGGTAATTGTTGCAGATATTGACCTTGTATTATTTCTTGTATTTTTCTGTATGTCTTTAAATGCTGCAACATAATCCAAGACTTGTAATAGAAATTGTCCATTTGACACCAATTGTAATCAATGTTTTTGCATATCTACTGTTTTAAATTAAATGTGGAGCTTGTTAATTCTAATAATATCTCTCTTTCTCTTTTTCATTCATTTTTCCTCTCACTCGTCCACCACTGAACCATTAATCCATTTGATGTTGTCTAACCCTGATCAATCCTTCCATATTTTTAAAACCCCTGTGATTTTGTTTTTTGTTTTTTTTATTTTGTTCTCCATTTATTACGCTGCTGTCAGACCCCATAGACCCTGATATTGATTTTTATGAACTCTTTAATAACCCATACACCCCAGCACCCGACCCCACACCCATGCTGCCCCCGGTGGGCGTTCAGGCCACCGTCCTCAGCCACGACACAGTCAAAGTCAGCTGGGCCGACAACTCGCTCGCCAAGAACCAGAAGATCACCGACTCCAGATATTACACCATCCGCTGGAAGACCAACATCCCCGCCAACACCAAATACAAGGTATCCACCGTCTCTTTGGAGTCATATTTGTGACCCTGGAGCACAAAAGCAGTGTTAAGTCGCTGGGGTATATTTGTAGCAATAGCCAACAATACATCATATGGGTCAAAATTATCTATTTTTATTTTAAGCCAAAAATCATTAGGATATTAAGTAAAGATTAAGATATTTTGTAAATTTCATGCCATAAATATATCAAAACTTAATTTTTGATTAGTAATATGCATTGCTAAGAACTTGTTTTGGACAACTTTAAAGATGATTTTCTCAATATTTTGATTTTTTTGCACCCTCAGATTCCAGATTTTCAAATATTGTCCAATCCTAACAAACCATACATCAGTGGAAAGATTGTTTATTCAGCTTTCAGATGATGTATAAATCTCAATTTCAAAAAATTGACCCTTATGACTGGTTTTGTGCTCCAGGGTCACATTTCATAACATTGGTTTATTTGGTGTTCAAAACAGCTTTATTTCATCACTTAAACTGATGTTCTAAAGAGGACTGTAGCAGTAACTACAACTAAAATCATACAATTGTATTTGCTTGAAATAAAATACATTTTAATCAAAGTAAAATGGAGAGAAGAAAAAGAAACTTATTTCAGCCAGTTGCCGAGACAACCTTTGTCATTTTCATTTAATTTGCTAAAATAACTCAAACTGAAATAAAAGTATATTAAATAAAATAAATATATAGACAGTTAAAACAAAATACAAAAACACAAGAAAATTACTAAAACTTTGTGAAGATTTAAAAATAAAAACGAATTCAAAAACTTTGTCAAAACTATAATAGTAGCTCAATGATACTAAAATAACACTGATTCTGAAGAGAGTATTTCAGTTCACTATAGTGTTTTTCCCCCGTGCTTGGAGCGCCCTCTAGTGTTCACTTGCACAGAATGCATTAAATACCTGTTTGGAATGGAATACTAGTGTACTGCTTACTGCATACTACATAGTATATACTATATATTTTTAAAAAGTCATATGTGTTACAATATGCGGTGATCAACTTTTTTTAATGTGTTTGTCTGTTGCTTGTTTTGTCAGATGGCAAACACCACGTCTCTGTTCCATACGGTAACGGCTCTGAAGCCCAACACGCTTTATGAGTTCTCCGTTATGGTGACCAAGAGCCGCAGGAGCAGTACATGGAGTATGACGGCCCACGGGACCACCTTTGAGTCCAGTAAGATCACACACACTCACAGCATTTTATTATTATACAGAAATAAATGACATTTTTACTATAATATTTTCTCTTAAAATAAACTTAACTCATTTAATCTAGTTTTATCTCATTAAACATGCATGCACCAGTTTTTCCACACAGGTTCCCAATTATGTTATGACTCTTGATATGTATTTCATAATTTCTTATAATTTGTCTGTAGATGTTGACAAAACATGGGTTTTCTCTACATTTTTGTTGTTGTTTGTTTATATCATCAAAAATTCATGCGATGAGGTACATGAAATTCAAAAACAGATGTGTAGTTTTTAGGATGCATGCAAAATTTGTGCATATTTAATTAATGTCTTATTTGCATTTTTATTGGTTTTTCAGTACAAATGAGATTCAACATTTTCTCGACCCTCATCAACAAATCCCTTTAGTTACATCCATTAATTTCTATAAGAGCTGAAAATTGAAAAATAAAATTATATATATATATATATATATATATATCTATATATATACACATTTTATAAAATTAATAATAATAATTTATATATACAGTGGGTACGGAAAGTATTCAGACCCCCTTAAATTTTTCACTCTTTGTTATATTGCAGCCATTTGCTAAAATCATTTAAGTT